GGTAATTAAAGTTATTCTAAATACGGTCCGGTCCGGTAGCTCAAATTTTACAGTACGAGTGATATGTTTCAGGATGAGTAGGTAGCAGAGTCTTTAATTTCGAAACGAGTACTGCGAAAAGAGTTACCGGACGTATGTTGTTATGTATTTTATTTCATACTGTCAACATACTTTTTTATTCGATAAAATTATTATTATTTTGAGAAAAAATCCAAATCGAGTCACTTTTTCTGACATCGTTAGCAACCGCTCTTTGGTAAATGTTTTAATTTGTTTATTCGTGCAAATCAGCATCATACGTTTAAACACATAGTACTTATAACACTTTACAGGACTTATTGTTTTGTATAATCCGACTCGATGGACGAATGTTTTGTGCAATCCGTCTCGAAGGACCAATGTTTGTGCAACTCGGCTCGTCCTACCAGTATTTTTTGTAATCTGGTTGATACGACAATGTGATACCGAATTGCACTTTGATATTGCTCCAAGGACCTTTGTTTTCTTGCGTGCGAGATAATAGACAGCGTTCGGTTTCGATGTTTAATACAGGACGGTTACAGAAGTACATTTACATTTGTATTTACAATAACAGGTAAAGCAAAAGAGACCCAAAAGGGTCAGTGGCCGCTTCCGGAAATGGAAAACTTGTCCTTTTTGGCCACGGAGGTAGAAGAGTGTCTCTTCTACCTCCGTGTTTTTGGCTCAATTTTATCGGACTTGTCCGTTTTTTTGATTTTACCGGAATAGTTCGATCCAGTAAAACGTCAAACTTGACATAGTATGAAGTAAAATAAATAAATTTTTTCTACTTTGCGTTAACAATGGCCTCATTATTAAACCGAAAACAGTTTAATAATGGGATCAATTGTTAAACTGTATTTCAGGTGGCGTGCAAGCCCCCTTCTTCCATTTTTTGAGGCAAACTTAGGTTAGATTGTTAGTGTTCGGTGGTTGACATTGTGAAGTCAGCCACAACGCTACAACTAACGTTTCGTATTAAAAGGCCCTTATAACCTTGAATTTTTATTAATTTTTTGTTTCCGATCAGATGCAAAGTAGAAAAAATAGTATATTATACTCGTTTAATAAGACGCATTGTGGCACTTATTCCTTTGGAGCACTCCTCGCTGCGCTCGTCGTGCCCCAAACCCATGCGTGCCACAATAAGACGTCTTATTAAACTAGTATAATAATATACTATTATGATGTAAATACAATTAAGTGTATCGATAATTCGCTACTGAAAATTTATTGAAATATAATTTGTGTTAAAAAAAGATTTTTGTGGTTTTATGGTTTATTAAATGTAATTAAAATAAATAATATCAAGAACTTGTATTATATATCAAAAACATTCATAGTAAATAAGAAAATTATGTAAATAAACCATAAAACCATACAAAATTTTCCTGCGACCTCTATTCAAAATCCCAGTTTACCAATAGGAATTAAGGCACAAAGATGTTTCACTGAATTTAATACCGATTTTTCAAGAAAAGTATGCTTATAAGCCTATAAGCGTCTAATGGATTAAAACAACAAATAATAATCACAATTTATTTGTTTTATGTGTTCATTACAATAATCCCATTTATTTAACAGAAACTTCTAAATGAAATAATATCTGGTTGACGAGAAATATCCGCAAATTTGTGTTAGGCTCATCTGGCAACGTTTTCGGTAGGTAGGTATCAATGGAACTAAAAGATTTGGTAATTTTCTTGGAAGAGTTTGTTTCTTCAATGAAAATTTATGGTTTTTAATTCTTCGGCCGCTTGAAAGTCTCGCCATGTGAAAATAGATTATTTGATAACCTGTTTCGTAATAATTGTAAATACGAACAAAAGCATATTTGCATATTCTAAACAACTGGCCATATCGATTCCAAACTTGTACAGATATGTTTTTTATTGTTTCTGTTTTCAATGAAATAAATTTTATTTGCAAAATACTTAATGTCTAACGACATATCACGCATACATACTACCCCATTTACTATATTTTCAATCTGTGCATTTTTCGCTTCATTCGTAGGAGCCAAGTAAGAAGTATCAGTGAGACCGGCGGTCTTTCAAAAGCTCGTAAATGAAAAGATTTAGTAAAGTTTCCTAGAACAGTCTGTCTCTTCATAAAAAAATTTAGACATTTTTACTATGAAATATTGGTACAATACGCTATATTCCACTGTTTGTTTTCTTTGAGATACGACTAGTTCTTGTGCCGAAGTGAAACACCAAAAAGTCTAAAGTCCGGAAATCAGAGTGAATTTTAAAACACATAAAACGACTTCTTTATTTATTTAAATATTGTCCTGTAACGTCCTGTGACGTGGAATGGAGTTTCTTAATGTACAAAAGTATGTTAGATAATAACCGAAAAATTTTCTTGATTAAAACTAAAGGAAACACAATTATTACTTGGAATAAAAATAAAGAATATCAAGAACTTGTGCTATGTATTAAAAATATTTAATTTCAAATAAGTAAATTATGTTAATAAACCATAAAACCACAAAAATCTTTTTTTAACACAAATTATATTTCAATAAATTTTCAGTAGTGAATTATCGATATACTTAATTGTATTTACATCATAATAGTTATTTATTATATAAGCGGTTAAAGTGAATGTTTAATGAGCGGCCAGTTTAAGGCGAGAGCGGCGTATGCCGCGAGCGCCTTAAGACCACGAGTTACACATTCATTTTAACCGCGAGTGTAATACAAACTTTTATTCAATTTTGACAACCCCAAGTCCCAAATTGTGAAAAAATTGGTGATTCAAAGTTCACATTCGAGAAACGTCAGAATTGACAGCGACCAAATAAAAGTTTTATATGCGTAGAATTTAGGTTACAATATCAGGTGTGTGTGTATAGTATGTGACTCTGGCGACGGTGTTTGTTTATTTTAAACAAACTAAAATTATCGAAAAATTGCAAAATCATGCAAGATTCCAACGGCAAAACTTGCTTCCAAAAAAGAGCAAATCAGAAAGTGTATCAAAAGTTCCTTAGATGGAAAGAGCAGCAAGACATTGGAGAAATTACAGAAATGGTAACCATGGTTTTAAAACAGCAAAATAAAAATTTTATTTCGCTAGCGGTTTAAAAATTTTATGGTGCTACCGGATAAACCAAAGCTTTAGTGGCCTACTGACGGCAAAATAAACGTTTGTTTACATGTCAAAATTGAATAAAATTTATTTATTTTACTTTATACTATGTCAAGTTTGACGTTTTACTGGATCGAACGATTCCGGTAAAATCAAAAAAACGGACAAGTCCGATAAAATTGAGCCAAAAAGGACAAGTGTTCCATTTCCGGAAGCGGCCACTGACCCTTTTGGGTCTCTTTTGCTTTACCTGTTATTGTAAATACAAATGTAAATTTAGTATTTCTGTAACCGTCCTGTATTAAACATCGAAACCGAACGCTGTCTATTATCTCGCACGCAATAAAACAAAAGTCATTGGAGCAATATCAAAGTACAATTCGGTATCACTTTGTCGTATCAACCAGATTACAAAAAATACTGGTAGGACGAGCCGAGTTGCACAAACATTGGTCCTTCGAGACGGATTGCACAAAACATTCGTCCATCGAGTCGGATTATACAAAACAATAAGTCCTGTAAAGTGTTATAAGTACTATGTGTTTAAACATATGATGCTGATTCGCACGAATAAACAAATTAAAACATTTACCAAAGAGCGGTTGCTAACGATGTCAGAAAAAGTGACTCGATTTGGATTTTTTCTCAAAATAATAATAATTTTATCGAATAAAAAAGTATGTTGACAGTATGAAATAAAATAGATAACAACATACGTCCGGTAACTCTTTTCGCAGTACTCGTTTCGAAATTAAAGACTCGGCTACCTACTCGTCCTGAAACATATCACTCGTACTGTAAAATTTGAGCTACCGGACCGGACCGTATTTAGAATAACTTTAATTACCATTTATGTTTTCATCAACACTAACAAGTATTTAAAATAACAAGTAATAATTTGTTTGTATTGTTTATTCATTATAATAATTCCATTTATTCACCAGAAACTTTTAAACGAAATAAAATCTAATCGACTAGAAATAACGGCAAAGTTGTGCTAGGCTCATCTGGCAACGTTGCAAATTATATAAATGGTTACTAAGAGATTTTTACACATTGTTTTCGTCGCCCTCTGTCGAGTGGTAGCTTTATTAAATGTATTGTTGCTGTGATTTGGGTTATCTACGCGCGCGATTGGTGTCCAAGCTTTTCGCCGGCGTTTGACGGCCGACTGTTGGTGCGCCATCTCTTGTTCGCCGGCCGTTGGCCTGTTCGCTCCAAACAATAGCATGGGTCTATCTATATGTATTTAATCAATGTCAGTGTGAAGGAAGATAGTACGAATATAGTGACGTTTTTGAAATAAAGTGGTATTTGATTTTAGTCAGCTTCATTTTTTTATATTTATAAATTAATTGTTTTTTATCAACTAAAAATAAAAGTAAAAAAATTTGTTGAAAAAATATAGGTTGCAATCCAAAAAATCTCCTTCAAGCTAAAAACAATGGCATTCACTGAATAACAAATAAAATAACTATTTACTATTTCGGACCTTAAAAAATATAATAAATATTTAAGCAACTCTGAAATTACGGCCAAAAATTTAACAGAACGACAGTGAAATTATCTGTGAAAATAAATAACAATTAAAATAAAGTGTTGTTCGGTCCGAAAAATTGCCGACGTATTTTTATTCAACAACTTATCAAGTAAACGAAGTTACAATGCAAACCCGTTGAATGAAACGATGATTTTTTGCGTCGCAAATGTCATCAAACTCGGCTTTTATCTCAGCCGGTGCGGCCTCCCTCGCAAATTCGCGTCGGCCCCTCGTTATACTGATCGCTCCCCGTACACTCCGGCGGCGTCTCCGCTAACTATCCGTCGGTTTGTTCTATTAGAATGTCCGTACATAGCCTTTTACTATGGTGGGGAGCGGCACATAGTGGGGTCCCTCTCGGCCGCCTGTGATGTTCCCGTGCGCTATGTTCTCCAAACCGTGTCCCATCAGTGTGTATCTAACGTTGACGACGTTAGTCGGTACGTCGCCGCCTGCTACGATGCACGCCGACGCGGACTCGTAACCGCCCCCACCAAACCCTGCGAGCCCCATCGCACGTGATGGATTAGCCCCAGTCCGACCGCCAGTAATCTCTAGCCACCGCAAAAAGGTACCGAACTTTGACCCCCCCTATCTCGCGGCGCACGTGTTGGTGATAACTCTTATCTAAATATGTCGTCTGCGAGCAGCCGCCCATCACCACCCTCTGTTTCAGGAGCCAGGACCGGACCGGATCGGAGTAGTGCCTTGTGATGACACGCGCGTGATTGTGCAGGACTGCCGAGTGTCAAATTCGATTTCGCACACGAAGGAGCTAGAACGAGTCTCATATGGTTTTCATGGTGAGTCCACCCCCGGGAGCGCGGCGCAGGATCGGGCCCCGAGCGGGCCGCTGCGGGACGCCGCGCGAGCGGAGGGCCGCTCGGCGGGCGCTGGGGCGCGTCGGCCGGATGCGCGGGCGGTAATTGAAGCGGCGCAGGTTCATTGTTGTTTAACACTTCCGGTTTACGCCCTCGGCGCGCACCGCATCTGATCATTATCGTCGTGCACGCAAGGAGAAATCGGTGCGTGGCGGAAATAATGTTATCTGCGAAAGATGAACCCGCGGTGTCGACGACCGCTTTTTTGCTCTTTTTTTGCCGTGGTTGGCGCGCTGGCGGCTTTTGGCGGGTCTTGGGGAGGGCGGGTTTGGCTTGGCAAGCGAGGTTTTGCTTTGGTGCGGTCTGGGGACTGTTTGGGATAGACGATGGAAATATGGGTCATTATCGAGGAAGTGGCGCTGGGTCGCTCCAAGGTGATGCGATCGGTTTGATAATGGGTCTGGCAATTTCATGGTTTTCAGATTGAGTTTGCCAAATTTTAGATCTATGCGTCCCATCAATTTATCAAAACTCCCTCAAAATTTTCAATGGCATAATTTTTGACAAATTGGTTTATCAAAAAATGTCTCTTTTTGCTTTGTTTGATGTTTGTTTTGGCATTATCGGAGCTTCTGAGGTGGAATTGTTTAAGATAAAGGATGTAAATATGGGTCATTACTGAGGAAGTGGCTCTATGTCGCTCCAAGGGTTTGATAATGTTTCTGGCTATGATGAACTGATATTTTATTCAGCAATATTGTCATGGTTTTCGGCATTTTGAGCTTGCCAAAGTTTTCTAGATTTCTTTTCTTCACATTGAGTGCTTTTCTCAAATTTTTTGAAAATTTTTTCATTTCGTGGGATCTTTTAAGTCGACCTTGGCGAAGTGGTAAATTATGCATTGAAGTGTCTGAGGAAAAAGAAATTTCTCAGTTATTTTTATCGTTCAGAGCTTTTAATTTCACGCCGTATTTTGCGCGGCGCACGTTGAATGGCACGCATTTGTGTTTTACTTGGGATATCGTTCGACAATTATTAACTTGTAAACTCAAAGACAAGCACTGTTAAAATGAACTAACTGCCCCACATTTTTTTTAATCGGGAATCGGGAGGGATTTTAACGAAGTGGCAACACCTATAATATGGATTCTTATTAATTTTGCACACCGTGGAGAATTTTGGAGTAGATACTTGCGAAATTATGTCAATTAGCTTGTCTTCGTTTGTTGTTTTTTTGGGTACAGTTTTTTCGAGCACCAACATTAATTTAAATTATGTACCATAACTTAATGACTAATAAATTTGAACTTTTAGTTTAATTTGCTCCAAGTACCAGCTAGTCTTGTACAACACGTAAAATTCCAGTTTAAACATTTTTTGCAGTTTAGAGTCGTTAGGTTTCTTGTGTTTGTCAAGTTCAATAGGTGGCCTCTACAAGGTGACTGCGAAATACATGCAAAAAAAAAAATGGGGAATAGCTCACAATATGATTATGTCACTGGGTAAAATTCACGGTCCTAAGTAGTAGCAGTGTCTAGAAAAAATTATTTGAAATTCAATGTAAATTGTTGTACGCGCCGCTGGACTGTTTTGTGACCTACATAATTACTACAATGAATGGAACAGAGCGAGTCGGTTAAAGAACCAAAAAAGTTACTTTATCAGGCACTTTTTTAATCGCAACGTGAAAAACACGAAAAGGGCCAGTTAGCATCGAGCGGTCGGTGAAATCGGTTTATGGTGCAGTTTTCCCATGCAGATTGTGTCGATATGGTAATGGGTGCATCAGTGGTACAGCATCTCCGAGATCATGGTACCTTCAACCTCAAACTCACGATCGTGGCCGTGATAGGACAGAAAGAAGAAGTTGGATTTTCACAGCTTGTAGTGCATCCTACATTAAAAGAATACGGCCACATCCATACCATGTTGACAAAGTACAGGGTTTGGAGCCCGCTGATTGTCCACCTTGTGTAACTCACTTTTTGTCCGATGGAACTCCACGTAGTCGTCAACAAGTACGATTTCAAGAGACGGTTTTCGATAAATGTGTATCAGTTGGATGAAACAGTTCGTTTGTGGAAATCAACAGTGTCCAGAAATTATCGAAGAGCTTCAACAAGTGAAAGTGACACCCGCTACTCCGGTGTTTTTTTACCTATCAACAAACCTCTTGCGACGCTCTGACGCCTGTATTGCTAGTCAAGGACAACATTTTCAACATTTCTTGTAAAAAGGTAGTAGCATTCTAAGTTGCTCTTATTTCTGTTCCAATAAACAACGTAAAATCGTTGTGACAAGGACCAAACATCCGTCAGAATCAAAATTACCAAAAAACTTTCACACTGACCTTTAACGATGAATGAGTAAATGAATGAACGAATGATAAGCAGCAAAAAGTCGGTTTTACTTTTAATTGAAACTGAAAGTGTTTAGGTCGTTTTTATTCAAACGTTTTTCCAACTCTGTTTACAAGGTGGCTCAGTGCCTTCGTATCGAGGGTGGTTCATGGGGGTTTTGCCCCATTCGATTTTTAATTTCTTTTTTCTATATTTCGGCTCTACTAGGGTGGGGGATGCCGTGGTTAAAATATTTGCACTTATTTCGCAGTCACCCTGTATATTAAAATGACTTGAGTATAATTTTAAAAATGTTAAACTCTAGAGGGGGTAATTTAAATTTCAAAATTTTGGTTCTCTGGGTGTATTAATCATTAAGCTACTATTAATTATTATCATCTTATTACAATTTTAATTTTTTCTGGAATGTAGATACAATAACAATTTTCCAAATTTTTCATGACCTCTAGAAAACGATTTTTATTAGACAGATAGTCACCGAATTTTCTGGACCTATTTTTATCAAATTTTGTATTTATATTAGGAATATCGTGCAGATGGTAAACCGCTAATCAAAAATGGCCTAATCATCCCCACCAACAATTTGATTTCGTCAACTCAACATTTTGCCCAGCAAAAGATATTTCAATTTTATAAAATAATGGACTCCTGTATTTGTGGTTTATGAATCCATGTTTATTTAGTTTATTATTGTAATTTTTATTGTTTAATTCTTTCTCTACTTTGGATACTTAATACGAACTTTGACAAGGGAGTCTGGTTCATTCCATTTTTGTCGCGCCCGCCTATATTTACTAATACTAAAATAATTAACAGCTACTCACCAAAAATAATATTCGAACCATTTTAAAAATTTTAAACTTTATTTTTTTTTAACAAAAATGCATATGTACTTTGATCTGCCGCCGCTGCTGCTAATTATATGCACGTGCTTAATCGTCTAATTCTTTAAATATAAATATGACCGGTCGAAGTTAAGCATGTACTGAGAATATATTTTACTGGTTGTTTGGTTTAAATATACTTCATATTGTCATCATAAAAAAAATATTTTTAAATATATCGAGTGTGTTTTTAAGGCATAACACAAGTTAGTTTTTTGTTATGAAACACCTTATATATTTTTAGATATCCTCATTGGTCTTTTCCTTTCGACGATCCCACGTTATTTCAATTTTGTTGAAATTTTTTTGCGATTGTTTCACAAAATAATTCGCAGTATATTTATTTTTAAAATCTGTGTTACAATATTGTGGAAGGATAAATAAAGGTACGCACTTTGTTGTGGTATCATTTAAAACAAATTTTAGTATTCAAAATGCTTATAAAAAAATCTAAAACTGTACAATTTTCAAATATTTCACTTTTTTTCAAATAGAACACCCTGTACGTTATTACTGTATCTTACTTTATTTTTTGCTCTCATTTTTCTAATGTCTTCAAAAAGTAAAAAATCGTCGTTACTATCAAGTTTAAATATAGAAAATATGTATGTAAAAGAAAGAAAGACAACAAAAAATAAAATAAGACGCAGTATAGTGTCCCCAGTTCTAATTCGGTTTTATGATGTGTAAAAGTTAACTTCCTTAACAATAGTTTACTACTACCGGTGATGGGACAGTCATAACTAAGGATTTAACCATGCCGTTACCATTATACTGTATAATGAATTTTGTTTATGACTGTCCCATCACCGGTTATCATAAGACCGAATTAGAACTGGGGAAACTATAATATAGTATAGGATGTTCTATTTGAAAAAATGAAATATAGATATCTGAAAAGTGTAATAATTAAAAATTTTTTATAAACACTCTGTATATGAAAATGTCATTTCATGCATACCACCACAAAGCCTATACCTTTGTTTATCTCTCCACCAAATATTGTAACACAGATTTTAAAAATTAATCTACTGCAATTTTTTTGTGAATCCTTCCATTGCTAAAAATTTGAAGAAAATTGGAATAACGTGGCAACGTTGCATCCGAATTTCAAAATTAAACTGTGGTTGTAAAGCCTAAGAAAAGATCAATCAGAATATCCAAAAACATATAGAGTATTTCATAAAAAAAACTAAGTAGTGTGTTACGCCTTAAAAACAGAACACTCTGTATAGTTAAAAATAGTTTCCTGTCCTGAAAGAACCGCACAACGTTGGCCTGTAACTTTGTTTTTGTTTCTAATAATTAATGAAATATCGGGAACGCGCGCTTAGTGACTCACCCTGTATATCGATTTTGTAAAATTTTTCCAGTCACATCAAAAATATTTTACATGAAGTTGATTATTCTAGCTTTATTTTCAACTTTGCGCGTGTAGGTTTTTGAAAAAAAAAATCAAAATCGTACAAAAAAATCCGTTTGCATTCACAATTTTCGTTGACATGATTAAGCTTGAGTTGAAAATGTTAAAAACCGTAATCACATTCAATTGTTTTAACATAATACTGATTTATTTTAATGTTCAATTTACCTTCCATCTCGGATGTGTGATGTCATTATCACGTCAGGCACTGATTTCACTTCAGTTTTAATTGTTTTACCACAAAAAATACATACAATACAATAGCTAAGTGCCGCGTTAGTACACATTGTAATCATTTTAAAAATTCACTTGTTA